GATATTTTAAGAATCTGAAATATAAAATATATTTTGATTTGTTTAATACTTTTTTGGTTACCACATGATTCCATGTGTTATTTCATAGTTTTGATGTCTTCACTATTATAATACAATGTAAAAAATTGTAAAAATAAAGAAAAACCCTTGAATGAGTAGGTGTTCTAAAACTTTTGACCGGTAGTGTATGTATATATACAGCTCTGGAAAAAATTAAGAGACCACTGCAAATGTTTCTTAAATCAGCATCTCTACATGTATGACAGCCATTCCTTTCCAGTGTCTGTTGAATTCCAACACAGGCACACCTCATTCTACTGAATGAACCAAATCTTCTTTAACGAGGAAAAGTATAAAATCCACTGCTGTGGTCATCACTACAAGTTGCAATAGGACCAGCTGGATGGCAAAAACTGTGCTTATAGTACCTCAAAAGTAATATTAATCAAAAAATAACTATTGACCATGCCAAAAGAGATGAAAAGGAAAGTTTTGAGTGAGGCAAAGAAGGGTTCAATTCTGGCTTTACTGGCCGAGGGATACAGTGAGCGTCAGGTTGCTTCCATCCTTAAAATGTCAAAGACGGCGGTTCATAAGAACAAGGTCAAGCAGCAGACATTGGGGACAACAAAGCTACAGACCAGCAGAGGGCGAAAACGACTCTCTACTGACCGGGATGACCACCAACTCATTCGAATGTCACTCAACAACCGTAGGATGACATCAAGTGACCTACAAAAAGAATGGCAAACGGCAGCTGGGGTGTAATGCACGGCGAGGACGGCTCGAAACAGGCTCCTAGGGGCAGGGCTGAAGTCGTGCAAAGCTAGAAAAAAGCCCTTCATCAATGAGAAGCAAAGAAGAGCCAGGCTGAGGTTTGCAAAAGACAATTAGGATTGGGCCGTAGAGGACTGGAGTAAGGTCATCTTCTCTGATGAGTCCAATTTTCAGCTTTTCCCAACACCTGGTCGTCTAATGGTTAGACGGAGACCTGGAGAGGCCTACAAGCCACCATTTTTTACAGAGCTGTATATGTAAGGGCTATTTTACAAAGAAGGAGAGTGATGGAGTGCTGCATCAGATGACCTGGCCTCCACAATCCCCTGACCTCAACCCAATTTTTTATTTTATTTTATTTCACCTTTATTTAACCAGGTAAACCAGTTGACAACAAGTTCTCATTTACAACTGCGACCTGGCCAAGATAAAGCAAAGCAGTGCGATAAAAACAACAACACAGAGTTACATATGGGGTAAAACAAAACAAAGTCAAAAATACAACAGAAATAAATATATATACAGTGTGTGCAAATGTAGCAAGTTATGGAGGTAAGGCAATAAATAGGCTATAGTGCAAAATAATTACAATTAGTATTAACACTGGAATGATAGATGTGCAAGAGATGATGTGCAAATAGAGATACTGGGGTTGAGTTGGTTTGGGATGAGTTGGACCGCAGAGTGAAGGAAAAGCAGCCAACACGTGCTCAGCATATGTGGGAACTCCTTCAAGACTGTTGGAAAAGCATTCCAGGTGAAGCTGGTTGAGAGAAGTTCAAGAGTGTGCAAAGCTGTCATCTAGGCAAAGGGTGGCTACTTTGAAGAATCTCAAATGTAAAATATATTTTGATTTGTTTAACACTTTTTTGGTTACTACATGATTCCATATGTGTTATTTCATAGTGTTGATGTCTTCACTATTATTCTACAATGTAGAAAATAGTAAAAATAAAGAAAAACCCTTGAAAGCGTAGGTGTGTCCAAACCTTTGACTGATACTGTATATATGTATGTATGTACAGTTGAGTCGGAAGTTTACATACACCTTAGCCAAATACATTTCAACTCAGTTTGATATTTAATCCTAGTAAAAATTCCCTGTCTTATGTCAGTTAGGATCACCATTTTATTTTAAGAATGTGAAATGTCAGAATAATAGGAGAGAGAGTGATTTATTTAAGCTTTTATTTATTTCATCACATTCCCAGTGGGTCAGAAGTTTACATACTTTCAATTAGTATTTGGTAGCATTGCCTTTAAATTGTTTAACGTGGGTCAAACGTTTTGGGTAGCCTTCCATAAGCTTCACACAAGAAGTTGGGTGAATTTTGGCCCATTCCTCCTGACAGAGCTGGTGTAACTGAGTCAGGTTTGTAGGCCTCCTTGCTTTTTCAGTTCTGCCCACAAATGTTCTATAGGATTGAGGTCTTTGTGATGGCCACTCCAATACCTTGACTTTGTTGTCCTTAAGCCATTTTGCCACAACTTTTGAAGCATGCTTGGGGTCATTGTCCATTTGGAAGACCCATTTGCGACCAAGCTTTAACTTCCTGACTGATGTCTTGAGATGTTGCTTCAATATATCCCCATAATTTTCCTTCCTCATTATGCCATCTGTTTTGTGAAGTGCACCAGTCCCTCCTGCAGCAAAGCACCCCCACAGCATGATGCTGCCACCCCCGTGCTTCACGGTTGGGATGGTGTTCTTCGGCTTGCAAGCATTCCCCTTTTTCCTCCAAACATAACGATGGTCATTATGGCCAAACAGTTCTATTTTTGTTTCATCAGACCAGTGGACATTTCTCCAAAAAGTACGATCTTTGTCCCCATGTGCAGTTGCAAACCGTAGTCTGGCTTTTTTATGGTGGTTTTGGAGCAGTGGCTTCTTTCTTGCTGAGCGGCCTTTCAGGTTATGTTGATATAGGACTTGTTTTACTGTGGATATAGATACTTTTGTACCTGTTTCCTCTAGCATCTTCACAAGGTCCTTTTGCTGTTGTTCTGGGATTGATTTGCACATTTCGCACCAAAGTACGTTCATCTCTAGGAGACAGAACGCGTCTCCTTTCTGAGCGGTATGATGGCTGCGTGGTCCCATGGTGTTTATACTTGCGTACTATTGTTTGTACAGATGAACGTGGTACCTTCAGGCGTTTGGAAATTGCTCCCAAGGATGAACCAGACTTGTGGAGGTAAAACAAAAAAATTCTGAGGTCTTGGCTGATTTCTTTTGATTTTCCCATGATGTCAAGTAAAGAGGCACTGAGTTTGAAGGTAGGCCTTGAAATACATCCACAGGTACACCTCCAATTGACTCAAATATGTCAGTTAGCCTATCAGAAGCTTCTAAAGCCATGACAACATTTTCTGGAATTTTCCAAGCTGTTTAAAGGCACATTCAACTTAGTGTATGTAAACTTCGGACTCACTGGAATTGTGATACAGTGAATTATAAGTGAAATAATCTGTCTGTAAATAATTGTTGGAAAAATTACTTGTGTCATGCACAAAGTAGATGCCCTAACCGACTTGCCAAATTATAGTTTAACAAGAAATGGTGTTTGAAAAACAGGTTTTAATGACTCCAACCTAAGTGTATGTTAACTTCCGACTTTAACTGTACATAAACACACACACATACACAGCAACACCTCCCCCATAAGCATTCCTGTCTCTTCTATAGATGTTATATCCTTGTATTGCTACTGCTGTATCATCAAAGGAATTATGTAAGTGAGTTTCAGAGATGGCCAGTATATGAATGTTATCTGACGTATTGATTTCATTAACCTTATTTCTAAGGCTTCATATATTGACATGGTTTATTCTTAGCCCTTTCCTGGGTAGCTTATCGACGATAGACATAAAAACATTTTTTAGCTAAGAGTCAGTCAGTCAGGCCCTTGTGAGTGTAATTTGGTGTATGTGTGTTATGTTTAGCTGAAGCTACAGATCCTGAAGCTCACTCCTCCCAGGCTTTCAGGAGGGTGGACAATGAGGTTGATGTAGCAGATGTAAGCAATGTCCCCACTCTCTCATGCAGCTTACATAGCTTTTTCTGCCTCTGGCACACAGCTTCAGAGAAGTCCATGAGGAAGATGTTGGTGCTTGCACCTTAGGAACCTGACCACTATCGTCCTGGGTCAGTCACCTGGGCTGGTTACAGGTTTTCCACCTCAACCTTAGGAACCTGACCACTATCGTCCTGGGTCAGTCACCTGGGCTGGTTACAGGTTTTCCACCTCAACCTTAGGAACCTGACCACTATCGTCCTGGGTCAGTCACCTGGGCTGGTTACAGGTTTTCCACCTCAACCTTAGGAACCTGACCACTATCGTCCTGGGTCAGTCACCTGGGCTGGTTACAGGTTTTCCACCTCAACCTTAGGAACCTGACCACTATCGTCCTGGGCAGTCACCTGGGCTGGTTACAGGTTTTCCACCTCAACCTTCCTATGATCCACCTGCAGCTTTTCTGTGAATGTTTTTTCATATATATATATATATTTTTTTTACTTTCTCCTCAGACTCTGTCCAGGTCTCGTGTGGAGACTCTGATATGCCATCCACAACAATGTTATTACTCCTGGATTGTCTCTCTAGATAGTCTGTTTTCTCAGTCATTTGTAATAATGATTCACAGACATTGCTGATGTCATCTCGCATGGACTTTCAGTTTTTTGTGATCTTGCTGGGAGAAACTGCAAACTGTTCTGAAGGTCCTGTTCCTCTCCGGTCCTTTATTTTCTTATTTGAGGCCGCCAGTATTTGGACAAAGCTCTTGGAGCAGTTTTCCTGTTGCTGTAACAATTGCTTGTAGAAATGTTTTTGTTAATTCCATTCCTTTCTTTTCTATAGATGTAGATCAGTCGAGTCAAAGCTCTGTGCTGTAAAACCTTGGTAGAGCATGGGTGAAGTAGACATTGGTGCTCATGAATTTCCTTTCATTTTGGGATTCAGACCAGTGCCTACTTCGCATTTAGAAGGTAGTTTCTTGTTTTTAATTGTATTAAATATGGTTGTAAAGTACTGAATGGTCTAATAAATAGATTCTGTCTCCAGTTGTAATGTACTGAATGGTCTATTAAATAGGTTCTGTCTCCAGTTGTAATGTACTGAATGGTCTAATAAATAGGTTCTGTCTCCAGTTGTAATGTACTGAATGGTCTTTAGTATGTATATAATATTGTTCTAATGTGTACGCTCTGTCTGTGTCTGCAGGATGAAGTGGACAGTTTGAGTCCTGTTCTCAGGGACAACCCTCAGCTTCATGAAGAGGTCAGGTTCTGGCTCAAAGATCAAAAGGTTCAGGAAATTTTTATGCAAGGTAAGAAACACTGAATCATGTATTTAATATTTAACAAACCCAACCAACTTGTCTGTTCACTGTGATGATGCGTAGTCCTTTGAACAGCACCCTATTCCATATATAGTGCACTACTTTAGACTAGAGCCTCATGGGGCCATATATAGTGCACTACTTTAGACTAGAGCCTCATGGGGCCATATATAGTGCACTACTTTAGACTAGAGCCTCATGGGGCCATATATAGTGCACTACTTTAGACTAGAGCCTCATGGGGCCATATATAGTGCACTACTTTAGACTAGAGCCTCATGGGGCCATATATAGTGCACTACTTTAGACTAGAGCCTCATGGGGCCATATATAGTGCACTACTTTAGACTAGAGCCTCATGGGGCCATATATAGTGCACTACTTTAGACTAGAGCCTCATGGGGCCATATATAGTGCACTACTTTAGACTAGAGCCTCATGGGGCCATATATAGTGCACTACTTTAGACTAGAGCCTCATGGGGCCATATATAGTGCACTACTTTAGACTAGAGCCTCATGGGGCCATATATAGTGCACTACTTTAGACTAGAGCCTCATGGGGCCATATATAGTGCACTACTTTAGACTAGAGCCTCATGGGGCCATATATAGTGCACTACTTTAGACTAGAGCCTCATGGGGCCAAATGCTAGGTGCCACTACGACAGACAGAGCCAGGGGCCCAGGACAGAGACAGCCCAGGACCAAACCAGGACTAGAGACAGAGCCCATGGGCCCAGAAAGAGCCCAGGACAGAGCCCAGGGGGATCAGAGCAGAGCCTAGACTAGAGCCTCAGGGGTCATTCTAGGCCACGAATAGACTAGAGCCTCTGGGGCCATGTATCTATCCACTTTAGACAGATGCCTCAGGGGGCCAAAAGTGACTCTTTAGACTGCCTCAGTGGCATGTTGTGATACTTAAGACTAGAGCTCATGGGGCTGTATTAGTCACTACTTTTAGATAGGACCAGAGGGCCTGTATGTAGCAGTATGTTGTAAGGACCAGGGGAATGTCTGTTAGATCAGTGTTTGTAGGCCCAGAGGAGACGGTCATGGAGCCCAGTGTGGTAAAGGACCAGAGGAGACTGTCCGTAGGACAGTGCGTGACAGGACCAGAGCCGGGGACGGTCTGTTAGTCAGGTGTTCGTAAGGCCCAGAGGAGACTGTCTGTAGTCAGGTGTTGTAGGACCAGAGGAGGACTGCTGTAGTCATGTGTTGTAAGGACCAGAGGAGACTGTTGTGGTCAGTGGTGTAAGGACCAGAGGAGACTGTCTGTTGTCAGTGTGTTGTAAGGACCAGAGGAGCTGTCTGTTAGTCAGTGTGTTGTAAGGACCAGAGGAGATGTCTGTTGGTCAGTGTGTTGTAAGGACCAGAGGGCTGTCTGTTAGTCAGTGTGTTGTAAGGACCAGAGGAGACTGTCTGTTGGTCAGTGTGTTGTAAGGACCAGAGGAGACTGTCTGTTGGTCAGTGTGTTGTAAGGACCAGAGGAGACTGTCTGTTAGTCAGTGTGTTGTAAGGACCAGAGGAGCATGTCTGTTAGTCAGTGTGTTGTAGGACCAGAGGAGCCTGTCTGTTAGTCAGTGTGTTGTAAGGACCAGAGAGACTGTCTGTTGTCAGTGTGTTGGTAAGGACCAGAGGAGACTGTCTGTTAGTCAGTGTGTTGTAAGGACCCAGAGGAGACTGTCTGTTAGTCAGTGTGTTGTAAGGACAGAGGAGACTGTCTGTTGGTCAGTGTTTGTAAGGTCAGAGAGACTGTCTGTTAGTCAGTGTGTTGTAAGGACCAGAGGAGCCTGTCTGTTAGTCAGTGTGTGTAAGACCAGAGGAGCTGCTGTTGTCAGTTGTGATGTAAGCAGACTCAGAGGAGACTGTCTGTTAGTCAGTGTGTTGTAGACAGGACTCAGAGGAGCTGTCTGTTAGTCAGTGTTTGTAAGGACAGAGAGCCTGTCTGTTGGTCATAGTGTGTTGTAAGGCCAGATGGAGACGTCTGTTAGGTCAGTGTGTTGTAAGGACCATGAGGAGACTGTCTGTTAGTGCAGTGTTGTAAGGACCAAGGAGCTGTCTGTTAGTCCAGTGTGTGTAAGGACCAGACTCAGGGACGTCTGTTAGTCAGTGTTGTAAGGACCAGACTCAGAGGAGCCAGTCTGTAGTCAGTGTTTGAAGGACAGAGGAGCTGTCTGTAGTCCAGTGTGCTTGTAGGACCAGAGGAGCTGTCTGTGGTCAGTGTGTGTAAGACAGCTCATGGGAGGAAGACTGTCTGTTAGTCATGTGTTGTAAGGACCAGAGGAGACTGTCTGTTAGTCAGTGTGTTGTAAGGACCAGAGGGACTGTCTGTTAGTCAGTGTATGTAAGGACCACAGGAGCCCTGTCTGTAGTCAGTGGTTGTAAGAGCCAGGAATGCAGAAGGAGACTGTCTGTTAGTCAGTGTGTTGTAAGGACCAGGACAGAAACTTCTGTTAGTCAGTGTGTTTAAGGACCAGACAGAGGAGACTGTTGTTAGTCCAGTGTTTGTAAGGACCAGAGGAGACTTCTGTTAGTCAGGTGTTGTAAGGACCAGGACAGGAGACTGTCGTTGTCAGTGTGTTGTAAGGACCAGACAGACGTCTGTAGTCAGTGTGTTTAAGGACCAAGGAGACTGTCTGTTCAGTGTGTGTAAGGACCAGGGAGACTGTCTGTTAGTCAGTGTTGTAAGACCACAGGGGCTGTCTGTGTCAGTGTGTGTAAGGACCAGATATCAGAGGAGACTGTCTGTTAGTCAGTGTGTTGTAAGGACCAGAGGAGACTGTCTGTTAGTCAGTGTGTTGTAAGGACCAGAGAGGAGACTGTCTGTTAGTCAGTGTGTTGTAAGGACCAGAGGAGACTGTCTGTTAGTCAGTGTGTTGTAAGGACCAGAGGAGACTGTCTGTTAGTCAGTGTGTTGTAAGGACCAGAGGAGACTGTCTGTTAGTCAGTGTGTTGTAAGGACCAGAGGAGACTGTCTGTTGGTCAGTGTGTTGTAAGGACCAGAGGAGACTGTTGTTAGTCATGTGTTGTTAAGGACCAGAGGAGACTGTCTGTTGGTCAGTGTGTTGTAAGGACGCAGAGGACGGACTGGTCTGTTTGGTCAGGTGTTGTAAGGACCAGAGGAGCCTGTCTGTTAGTCAGTGTGTGTAAGGACCAGAGGAGACTGTCTGTTGGTCAGTGTGTTGTAAGGACCAGAGGAGCTGTCTGTAGTCAGTGTGTCGTAAGGACCAGAGAGACTGTCTGTGGTCAGTGTGTTGTAAGGAGCCATGAGAACTGTGTAGTCAGTGGTTTGAAGGACCAGAGGAGACTGTCTGTTTAGTCAGGCCTCTGATATTGAAGATCTCGAGTGGCTGTTTTAAGGACAGGTGCGTTGTGAAGCGTTTAAGGCAGCCTCTGATCTGATGTAGTCCAGTGGGTTTAATGGACCAGGATAGACGTGAGCGTTAAGCGGCCTCTGTATGAGTCAGTCTCAGTGGGTTAATGGACCAGGAGAGACAGGGTGAAGCGTTAGTCAGGCCTCTGATATTGAATGTAGTCATCAGAGGAGAGACGTTGTGAAGCGTTTTAAGGCAGGCCTTGATATTGAATGTAGTCTCGTGGGTAATGGCAAGGTAGACAGTGTAAGCGTTTAAGGCAGGCCTCTGATATTGAATGTAGTCCAGTGTGCGTTAATGGACCAGAGGAGAGACGTGTGAAGCGGTTTTAAGGCAGGCCTCTGATATTGAATGTAGTCTCAGTGGTGTAAGGACAAGGAGACAGTGAGCGTTTAAGGCAGGCTCTGATATTGAATGTAGTCCAGTGTGGTTAATGGACAGAGAGCAGTGTGAAGCGTTTAAGGAGGCCTCTGATATGAATGTAGTCAGTGTGTTTAAGGACAGTGTGAAGCGTTAAGGACGGCTCTGATATTGAAGTAGTCTCAGTGGGTTAATGGCAAGGAGGACAGTGTGAAGCGTTTAAGGAGCCTCTGATATTGATGTAGTCCAGGTGTGTTAATGGACCAGGAGAGACAGTGGAAGCGTTAAGGCGGCCTCTGATATTGATGTAGTCGTGGTGTTAAGGACCAGAGGAGACGTTGTGAAGCGTTTAAGGCAGGCCTCTGATATTGAATGTGAGTCCAGTGGCGTTAATGGACAAGGGAGACAGTGTTGAAGCGTTTAAGGCAGGCCTCTGATATTGAATGTAGTCTCAGTGGTGTTAATGGACCAAGGAGAGACAGTGTGAAGCGTTTAAGGCAGGCCTCTGATATTGAATGTAGTCTCAGTGGCGTTAATGGCAAGAGAGACAGTGTGAAGCGTTTAAGGCAGGCCTCTGATATTGAATGTAGTCCCAGTGGCGTTAATGGACAAGGAGAGACAGTGTGAAGCGTTTAAGGCAGGCCTCTGATATTGAATGTAGTCCCAGTGGTGTAATGGACAAGGAGAGACAGTGTGAAGCGTTTAAGGCAGGCCTCTGATATTGAATGTAGTCTCAGTGGCGTTAATGGCCAGAGAGAGACAGTGTGAAGCGTTTAAGGCAGGCCTCTGATATTGAATGTAGTCTCAGTGGCGTTAATGGACAAGGAGAGACAGTGTGAAGCGTTTAAGGCAGGCCTCTGATATTGAATGTAGTCCCAGTGGCGTTAATGGACAAGGAGAGACAGTGTGAAGCGTTTAAGGCAGGCCTCTGATATTGAATGTAGTCTCAGTGGCGTTAATGGACAAGGAGAGACAGTGTGAAGCGTTTAAGAGGAGGAGAGAGAGGACAGTGTGAAGGTTTAAGAGGCCTCTGATATTGAATGTAGTCCAGTTTAATGGAGAGGAGAGACAGTGTGAAGCGTTAAGGCAGGCCTCTGATATTGAATTGTAGTCTCAGTTGTGTAATGGAAAGAGAGACAGTGTGAAGCGTGGGAGCCTCTAGGTCTCAGTGCGTTAATGGCCAGGAGAGTGAAGCGTTTAAGGCAGGCCTCTGATATTGAATGTAGTCCCAGTGGCGTTAATGGACAAGGAGAGACAGTGTGAAGCGTTTAAGGCAGGCCTCTGATATTGAATGTAGTCTCAGTGGTGTTAATGGACAAGAGAGACAGTGTGAAGCGTTTAAGGTCCAGGCCGTCTGATATTGAATGTAGTCCCTAGTGGGCGTTAATGGACAAGGAGAGACAGTGGAAGCGTTTAAGGCAAGGCCTCTGATATTGAATGTAGTCTCAGTGGTGTTAATGGCCAGAAGAGAGACAGTGTGACAGCGTTTAAGGCAGGCCTCTGATATTGAATGTAGTCTCAGTGGTGTTAATGGACAAGGAGAGACAGTGGTGAAGCGTTTAAGGCAGGCCTCTGATATTGAATGTAGTCTCAGTGGTGTTAATGGACAAGGAGAGACAGTGTGAAGCGTTTAAGGCAGGCCTCTGATATTGAATGTAGTCTCAGTGGTGTTAATGGACAAGGAGACAGTGTGAAGCGTTTAAGGCAGGCCTCTGATATTGAATGTAGTCTCAGTGGTGTTAATGGACAAGGAGAGACAGTGTGAAGCGTTTAAGGCAGGCCTCTGATATTGAATGTAGTCTCAGTGGTGTTAATGGACAAGGAGAGACAGTGTGAAGCGTTTAAGGCAGGCCTCTGATATTGAATGTAGTCCTCAGTGGCGTTAATGGACAAGGAGAGACAGTGTGAAGCGTTTAAGGCAGGCCTCTGATATTGAATGTAGTCTCAGTGGCGTTAATGGACAAGGAGAGACAGTGTGAAGCGTTTAAGGCAGGCCTCTGATATTGAATGTAGTCTCAGTGGCGTTAATGGACAAGGAGAGACAGTGTGAAGCGTTTAAGGCAGGCCTCTGATATTGAATGTAGTCTCAGTGGCGTTAATGGACAAGGAGAGACAGTGTGAAGCGTTTAAGGCAGGCCTCTGATATTGAATGTAGTCTCAGTGGCGTTAATGGACAAGGAGAGACAGTGTGAAGCGTTTAAGGCAGGCCTCTGATATTGAATGTAGTCCTCAGTGGCGTTAATTGGCAAGGAGAGAATGTGAAGCGTTTAAGGCAGGCCTCTGATATTGATGTAGTCCCGTGGTGTTAATGGAGAGACAGTGTGAAGCGTTTAAGGCAGGCCTCTGATATTGAATGTAGTCTCAGTGGTGTTAATGGACAAGGAGAGACAGTGTGAAGCGTTTAAGGCAGGCCTCTGATATTGAATGTAGTCTCAGTGGTGTTAATGGACAAGGAGAGACAGTGTGAAGCGTTTAAGGCAGGCCTCTGATATTGAATGTAGTCTCAGTGGTGTTAATGGACAGAGAGAGACAGTGTGAAGCGTTTAAGGCAGGCCTCTGATATTGAATGTAGTCTCAGTGGTGTTAATGGACAAGGAGAGACAGTGTGAAGCGTTTAAGGCAGGCCTCTGATATTGAATGTAGTCTCAGTGGTGTTAATGGCCAGAGAGAGACAGTGTGAAGCGTTTAAGGCAGGCCTCTGATATTGAATGTAGTCCCAGTGGCGTTAATGGCCAGAGAGAGACAGTGTGAAGCGTTTAAGGCAGGCCTCTGATATTGAATGTAGTCCCAGTGGCGTTAATGGACAAGGAGAGACAGTGTGAAGCGTTTAAGGCAGGCCTCTGATATTGAATGTAGTCTCCAGTGGTGTTAATGGACAAGGAGAGACAGTGTGAAGCGTTTAAGGCAGGCCTCTGATATTGAATGTAGTCTCAGTGGCGTTAATGGACAAGGAGAGACAGTGTGAAGCGTTTAAGGCAGGCCTCTGATATTGAATGTAGTCTCAGTGGCGTTAATGGACAAGGAGAGACAGTGTGAAGCGTTTAAGGCAGGCCTCTGATATTGAATGTAGTCCCAGTGGCGTTAATGGACAAGGAGAGACAGTGTGAAGCGTTTAAGGCAGGCCTCTGATATTGAATGTAGTCTCAGTGGTGTTAATGGACAAGGAGAGACAGTGTGAAGCGTTTAAGGCAGGCCTCTGATATTGAATGTAGTCTCAGTGGCGTTAATGGACAAGGAGAGACAGTGTGAAGCGTTTAAGGCAGGCCTCTGATATTGAATGTAGTCTCAGTGGTGTTAATGGACAAGGAGAGACAGTGTGAAGCGTTTAAGGCAGGCCTCTGATATTGAATGTAGTCTCAGTGGCGTTAATGGACAAGGAGAGACAGTGTGAAGCGTTTAAGGCAGGCCTCTGATATTGAATGTAGTCCCAGTGGTGTTAATGGACAAGGAGAGACAGTGTGAAGCGTTTAAGGCAGGCCTCTGATATTGAATGTAGTCTCAGTGGTGTTAATGGCCAGAGAGAGACAGTGTGAAGCGTTTAAGGCAGGCCTCTGATATTGAATGTAGTCTCAGTGGTGTTAATGGACAAGGAGAGACAGTGTGAAGCGTTTAAGGCAGGCCTCTGATATTGAATGTAGTCCAGTGGTGTTAATGGCCAGAGAGAGACAGTGTGAAGCGTTTAAGGCAGGCCTCTGATATTGAATGTAGTCTCAGTGGTGTTAATGGACAAGGAGAGACAGTGTGAAGCGTTTAAGGCAGGCCTCTGATATTGAATGTAGTCTCAGTGGTGTTAATGGACAAGGAGAGACAGTGTGAAGCGTTTAAGGCAGGCCTCTGATATTGAATGTAGTCTCAGTGGCGTTAATGGCAAGGAGAGACAGTGTGAAGCGTTTAAGGCAGGCCTCTGATATTGAATGTAGTCTCAGTGGGTTAATGGACAAGGAGAGACAGTGTGAAGCGTTTAAGGCAGGCCTCTGATATTGAATGTAGTCTCAGTGGCGTTAATGGACAAGGAGAGACAGTGTGAAGCGTTTAAGGCAGGCCTCTGATATTGAATGTAGTCTCAGTGGGTTAATGGACAAGGAGAGACAGTGTGAAGCGTTTAAGGCAGGCCTCTGATATTGAATGTAGTCTCAGTGGTGTAATGGACAAGGAGAGACAGTGTGAAGCGTTTAAGGCAGGCCTCTGATATTGAATGTAGTCTCAGTGGTGTAATGGACAAGGAGAGACAGTGTGAAGCGTTTAAGGCAGGCCTCTGATATTGAATGTAGTCCCAGTGGTGTTAATGGACAAGGAGAGACAGTGTGAAGCGTTTAAGGCAGGCCTCTGATATTGAATGTAGTCTCAGTGGCGTTAATGGACAAGGAGAGACAGTGTGAAGCGTTTAAGGCAGGCCTCTGATATTGAATGTAGTCCAGTGGTGTTAATGGACAAGGAGAGACAGTGTGAAGCGTTTAAGGCAGGCCTCTGATATGAATGTAGCTAAGAGGAGAGACGTGTGAAGCGTTTAGGCAGGCCTCTGAATGAATGTAGCTAAGGAGAGACAGTGTGAAGCGTTTAAGGCAGGCCTCGATATTGATGAGTCTCAGGAGAGACAGTGTGAAGCGTTAAGGCAGGCCTTGATATTGAATGTAGTCTCAGAGGAGAGACAGTGTGAAGCGTTTAAGGCAGGCCTCTGATATTGAATGTAGTCTCAGTGGTGTTAATGGCCAGAGAGAGACAGTGTGAAGCGTTTAAGGCAGGCCTCTGATATTGAATGTAGTCTCAGTGGTGTTAATGGCCAGAGAGAGACAGTGTGAAGCGTTTAAGGCAGGCCTCTGATATTGAATGTAGTCTCAGAGGAGAGACAGTGTGAAGCGTTTAAGGCAGGCCTCTGATATTGAATGTAGTCTCAGGGAGAGACAGTGTGAAGGTTTAAGGCAGCTCGAATTGAATGTAGTCTCAAGGTAGGACAGTGGAAGCGTTTAAGGCAGGCCTCTGATATTGAATGTAGTCTCAGAGGAGAGACAGTGTGAGTTTAAGGCAGGCTTATATGAGTAGTCTCAGAGGAGAGACAGTGTGAAGCGTTTAAGGCAGGCCTCTGATATTGAATGTAGTCTCAGAGGAGAGACAGTGTGAAGCGTTTAAGGCAGGCCTCTGATATTGAATGTAGTCTCAGAGGAGAGACAGTGTGAAGCGTTTAAGGCAGGCCTCTGATATTGAATGGTAGTCTCAGAGGAGAGACAGTGTGAAGCGTTTAAGGCAGGCCTCTGATATTGAATGTAGTCTCAGAGGAGAGACATGTGAAGCGTTTAAGGGCAGGCCTCTGATATGAATGTAGTCTCAGAGGAGAGACAGTGTGAAGCGTTTAAGGCAGGGCCTCTGATATTGAATGTAGTCTCAGAGGAGAGACAGTGTGAAGCGTTTAAGGCAGGCCTCTGATATTGAATGTAGTCTCAGAGGAGAGACAGTGTGAAGCGTTTAAGGCAGGCCTCTGATATTGAATGTAGTCTCAGAGGAGAGACCAGTGTGGAAGCGTTTAAGGCAGGCCTCTGATATTGAATGTAGTCTCAGAGGAGAGACAGTGTGAAGCGTTTAAGGCAGGGCCTCTGATATTGAATGTAGTCCCAGAGGAGAGACAGTGTGAAGCGTTTAAGGCAGGCCTCTGATATTGAATGTAGTCTCAGAGGAGAGACAGTGTGAAGCGTTTAAGGCAGGCCTCTGATATTGAATGTAGTCTCAGAGGAGAGACAGTGTGAAGCGTTTAAGGCAGGCCTCTGATATTGAATGTAGTCCCAGAGGAGAGACAGTGTGAAGCGTTTAAGGCAGGCCTCTGATATTGAATGTAGTCTCAGAGGAGAGACAGTGTGAAGCGTTTAAGGCAGGCCTCTGATATTGAATGTAGTCTCAGAGGAGAGACAGTGTGAAGCGTTTAAGGCAGGCCTCTGATATTGAATGCCCATAGCGGCTCTGGAAGAATATCTAGCCTAGTTACAGATATCTGAATGTGTATCTCAGGTGGTATAACTGGATGTCTTTCAGACTGTATTTAACCCCCACGTTGCTCCTGTTCTCCTCCAGGTCCCTATTCATTAAATGGCTACCGGGTCCGTGTTTACAGACAAGACTCAGCTACTCAGTGGTTCACAGGGATCATCACACATCATGACCTCTTCAGCCGTACTATGGTTGTGATGAATGACCAGGTAAAGACCTCCTGCAGAGGAAAGACACCGGAGGGAACGCCGCGCCGACGCGGCAGAGGAAAGACAACCGCGAGGCAGCCGGCGCGACGCGGCAGAGGAAAGGACACCGAGAGACGCCGCAGCACGCGGCAGAGGAAAGACAACGCGAGGACCCGCGCGACGCGGCAGAGGAAAGACACCGCGAGACGCCGACGAGACGAGGCAGAGGAAAGACACGCGAGACGCCGCGCGACGCGGCAGAGGAAAGACACCGCGTAGACGCGCGCGGCGACTCGGCAGATGAAAGACACCGCGAGACGCCGCGCGACGCGGCAGAGGAAAGACACCGCGAGACGCCGCGCGGGACGCGGCAGAGGAAAGACACCGCGAGACGCCGCGCGCGACGCGGGTCATATTTAAAATAACATCATACCCCTCTTTCAATTAAAACTCTCTACTCTTCATATTAAATACACCTCTATACTCCTTCTCTACTCTTCATATTAAATACACCTCTATACTCCTCTCTACTCTTCATATTAAATACAGTGAGGGAAAAAAGTATTTGATCCCCTGCTGATTTTGTACGTTTGCCCGCTGACAAAGACATGATCAGTCTATAATTTTAATGGTAGGTTTATTTGAACAGTGAGAGACAGAATAACAACAACAAAATCCAGAAAAATGCATGTAAAAAATGTTAGATATGTATTTGCATTTTAATGAGGGAAATAAGTATTTGACCCCTCTGCAAAACATGACTTAGTACTTGGTGGCAAAACCCTTGTTGGCAATCACAGAGGTCAGACGTTTCTTGTAGTTGGCCACCAGGTTTACACACAGCTCAGGAGGGATTTTGTCCCACTCCTCTTTGCAGATCTTCACCAAGTCATTAAGGTTTCGAGGCTGACGTTTGGCAACTCGAACCTTCAGCTCCCTCCACAGATTTTCTATGGGATTAAGGTCTGGAGACTGGCTAGGCCACTCCAGGACCTTAATGTGCTTCTTCTTGAGCCACTCCTTTGTTGCCTTGGCCGTGTGTTTTGGGTCATTGTCATGCTGGAATACCCATCCACGACCCATTTTCAATGCCCTGGCTGAGGGAAGGAGGTTCTCACCCAAGATTTGACGGTACATGGCCCCGTCCATCGTCCCTTTGATGCGGTGAAGTTGTCCTGTCCCCTTAGCAGAAAAACCCCTCCCAAAGCATAATGTTTCCACCTCCATGTTTGACGGTGGGGATGGTGTTCTTGGGGTCATAGGCAGCATTCCTCCTCCTCCAAACACGGTGAGTTGAGTTGATGCCAAAGAGCTCAATTTTGGTCTCATCTGACCACAACACTTTCACCCAGTTCTCCTCTGAATCATTCCGATGTTCATTGGCAAACTTCAGACGGGCATGTATATGTGCTTTCTTGAGCAGGGGGACCTTGCGGGCGCTGCAGGATTTCAGTCCTTCACGGCGTAGTGTGTTACCAATTGTTTTCTTGGTGACTATGGTTCCAGTTGCATTGAGATCATTGACAAGATCCTCCCGTGTAGTTCTGGGCTGATTCCTCACCGTTCTCATGATCATTGCAACTCCACGAGGTGAGATCTTGCATGGAGCCCCAGGCCGAGGGAGATTAACAGTTATTTTGTGTTTCTTCCATTTGTTGTCACCTTCTCACCAAGCTGCTTGGCGATGGTCTTGTAGCCCATTCCAGTCTTGTGTAGGTCTACAATCTTGTCCCTGACATCCTTGGAGAGCTCTTTGGTCTTGGCCATGGTGGAGAGTTTGGAATCTGATTTATTGATTGCTTCTGTGGACAGGTGTCTTTTATACAGGTAACAAGCTGAGATTAGGAGCACTCCCTTTAAGAGTGTGCTCCTAATCTCAGCTCGTTACCTGTATAAAAGACACCTGGGAGCCAGAAATCTTTCTGATTGAGAGGGGGTCAAATACTTATTTCCCTCATTGAAATGCAAATCAATTTATAACATTTCTGACATGTGTTTTTCTGGAGTTTTTTGTTGTTATTCTGTCTCTCACTGTTCAAATAAACCTACCATTAAAATTATAGACTGATCATGTCTTTGTCAGTGGGCAAACGTACAAAATCAGCAGGGGATCAAATACTTTTTTCCCTCACTGTACTCCTCTATACTCCTCTCTCTACTCTTCATATTAAATACACCTCTACACTCCTCTCTCTTAAGACATTCACCTCACCTTATGGACACTAAATCCCCTCATTGTTGTAAGTTGTATTTTTTTCCTACACAAATGTAGAAGACATACTTTAATAATGTCTTTACATGTCAAACATCATGTGGTCTCCCTCTCCTAGGTTCTAGAGCCCCAGAACGTTGACCCATCTACGATACAGATGACCTTTCTAGACGATGTTGTCCACTCTCTGCTGAAAGGAGAGAACATCGGCATCCAGTCCAGACGCAGGTCCCGTTCCAGCAACAACCAGAACAACTCTGCCCACGTGAGTACACACACACACACACACACACACACACACACACACACACACACACACCCGCACGCACACCCGCACGCACGCACGCACGCACGCACGCACGCACGCACGCACGCACGCACGCACGCACACACACACACACACACACAGTAACACACACACAGTAACACACACACACACACACACACCACAACACACACACACACACACACACATCCACACACAGACACACACACCACCACACCCACCCACACACACCCACCCAACACACACACACACACACACACCCACCAACCCACACACACACACACCACACACACCACACACACCACACACACACACACCACACACACACACCACCACACACACACACACACACCACCACCACACACACCAAACAACACACCACCACACCACACACACACACCACACACACACCCACACACACAAACACCACCCCCACACCACACAAACACAACCACCACACACACACACCACACCCACAACACACACACCACCACACAACACACACACCCACACCCACACACACCACACACCCACACCACAACCCACCCCACCACACACACAACACCTAACACACCACACACCCATAACACCACACACACGACACACCACACACACTGAAACACACACCACACTGTAACACACACGTAACACACACACCCACTAACACACACTGTAACACACACACACACCACACACATACACACACACAACACCACACCACACACACACACACACCACACACACACAACACACACACAGTAACACCCACACACACACACACACACACAGTAACACACATACACACACACACACTGTAACACACACACACACACTACACACACACCACACAACACACACACACACACCAAAACACACACAAACCACACACCCAGCCACACACACACACACACACCACACACCAACACACACACCACCCCACACACACACACACACACACACACACACACACACCATAAACCCACGCCCCGCCGTCCACACACCACACAGTACACAACACCACACCACAGTAACACCACACCACTGAACACAACCCACCTGTAACACACACGTACAACACACTGTAACACACACATGTAACCCCAACACTGTAACCAACCACAACACTGTAACACACACTGTAACACACACACTGTAACACACACAGTAACACACACACACTGTAACACACACAGTAACACACACACACTGTAACACACACACACTGTAACACACACACACACACACACACACTGTAACACACACACACAGTAACACACACACACACAGTAACACACACGCGCGCTCTAAAACACACACACAGCTGGAAGCAGCTGGTCATCATCAACAGTCTGTCAGTGTTAATACGTTTGCTGCTTGTTAGTGTCACGTTACCTGTTAGTCCATTGGTGCTGATCCACTATTTGTTTTTACATGTTTTTGTTGGCGTGTCAGTTTGTCTTTATACTTTCCACCTGCTGTCTGTCAGTGTGTACAGCTTTAAAGTAAACTTCCCATGTGATTGGATCCTTTAAAGGAAACTTCCCATGTGATTGGTATGCTTCATTTAAAAAAACAAAAAAAGCCAATCAGTCAATGGTATCACTGGTCCCTTCATCATTAACCAGATCTTTCTGTCCCACCATGTTGTTGTTTTCTAATTGATCATTTGTGGTATGCCAGCAGACAGCAGGAGGGAGACCCACCAGCACCACAGGAAGAGAGCAGGTACCACCGGCCAGAGGCCTCCTCTCCTCCTCTGTAGTAGTAGTAGTATAGTATAGTAGTACATACACAAAATAAACACACACACAATTAAATCACCCTCCCTGTACCAATTACCCCCCCCCACAACACTAACAATACACCCCCTAACACAAGTACACCCCATAATACCCTCTACTTAACCACCCCCAAAAGAAAACCCCCCCCCTGTAACAAGTAACCACCTCCCCCCTTAAAAAATGTAACAACACACATGCCACCAGTAAAAGAACAAGTCCCCCCATTAAACAATAACACCCCCCAAAAAAAACACCACCCCCACAAATAAAAACCACTCCCCCCCCTAAACAGAACAGTAAATGTCCCAACCCATAATAGTTACCACCTTCCAAGTTAGTAATGTAAACAGTATACACATCATGTAAATAGTTTAGTATATACACTCCCCCCGAGTAGTAAAATACCCAAGACCCCCCCTAAAGTAAAAACAACAGCCTCTCCAAAGAAACAAGTATCCCCTCCCTTATATAACCAGTTCTCCCACCATTGTACCCCATGTAAAACAAGCCAGACCCTCACACAAGTAGAAAAACAGTAAACTCTCTCCCCTGTAACTACATTAAGACACAATGTATATACAAGTAGATAGTCCAGAGTCCCCCCTTATAATAATGTATAAGAAGATAGTACCAACCTTCCACTCTCCTCTAGTAAAGAGCTTTATAAGGTAGAAGAAGTGTCCAAGCCACACTCTCCATGTTA